GCTACATGGGTGTGGATAATCATAATGATCTTCTAATGTCTGTCCAGTCTCATAAAGATCATGAGATCTGTTAAACATTTGAACTTGTCACCTGATTGTTGACTATTCTGATACATCATTGTTTTATTCTTCGAATATTATTTCTCCTACAGTGCTCACGCTCACACAGCAGGATGGGCTTGGGCAGCATCGGGACAGGCAGCTAACAGGCTGGAATGCACGGCCATGACACAAGCCCACCTTCGGGCCAATCCCTCCTTTCCGCTTGTGGGTTATAGCCTGTCATTCCACCAAACCCATAACCCAACTCGTCAGTAATATTCAGTCAGCTAACTTGTAACTCCATTAGCTCCACTCTGCTTGGTTCCACCATCCACGGACCCACTCCCTATGTAACTATATATACATACCTTGTAGATAGGTTACACCCTAGTGATAAAATCGACTAGAGTAATCCCCCTTCTAATTCTCATTGCCAGTTAGTAAATTAGGGCACAGACATGTAACTAGGCACAGTGCTCCTGGTCTAAGTCACTGAGGCCAAAACCCTCCACCATGGGGATGTCTCCTTTGTCCTGCATCCAGTCTCTGACACCTCGGCTGTCAATGATATGAATTTGAATGGAGTGTCAGGGGACAACCTGTCAGGGCACACCTGCCTCACCCGGCTCCACCCGGCTCCACCCGGCTCCACTCCACCCGCTACCCCCTTCTCCCCCTCCCTCCACTTCCCCCTCTTCTTATTTCTTCTCTGTCTCATTCTCTATTCTTTCTATTTCTATTTACATGGACAACTTCCCTTGATCGATGTACTACTAACCCACCTGCAACCCATGCACAACACACCCAACCCCAGATGCCCCGGACAACCCCCGGGTACACCCAGCACACGCGCCTGCAGCGGATCCCTTTGGGATCCCCCATGGGGATACCTGGGTGGCTGGGGCTGTGCATGGGGATGACATGGCAACTCTCATGTGACCTGAGCACCATGTATATAAACATACCTGGGGTGGGAACCAGAGAAGCAGTCTTCTTCTCACCATTCCCACTTCAGGGACGTCTGCCTGTGCCGGACCCGTTGCCGCACGCGCCCGCTTCATACCCCACTGGGCCCTCAGTGCCAGGCAATATACCCAGACGCTCTCGACCCCGGACTGGTCCCTGACACAACCCCCAGGTCCCCATGACCCCTCTCTCTATGGCCCACAGCCTAACCTGTAACAGCCCATCCCAGGGCACAGTACTACTGTGGGTAAGAAAGTGAGAAGAAGGTTAACCTCTCACTTTCCCACAGTGGCCACAATATGGCAAAAACTTCCGGAGATATCCGGAAGTCACATGAGGGGTGGGAACCGGGGCCCGGAGCATGCAGCATGCAGAGCATGTGGGGTGGAGCATGCATGTGGGTCCGGATGCGGGTCCGGGTCCGGGGTGTGGGCCAGGCTGACATGGAGTTACATACACAACAGTGCTGGAAGGAAAGGGCTAAGGAAATTTCCAACATTCCCACACTATTGTATATACATTGTTTATACTTATTGATACAATGGGAAAGGAAATAAGGAAAGGGAAATAAGGGGTGGGGTTACCACTCCTTACAAGGAATGACCAGGATGATACCAAGGATATTGTCTCACCCAGCCACCAATGGCATGATGATATGTTGGACATATTTAGTCCGATGTCATTCTATTGTTTCATCCTTAGGCTCTGTACAGGTTGAAGAAACAGGTTTCTTTTGCCCATTTCTTTTCGTTTCTTTCAGCAGTTTCTTTTGGTGTTGTTGAAGAAACTGCTTGTGCTGGGGCGTCCCACGCATGATTGTAGATTCTTTCTGTCCTTTTTTTTAAAAAGTGAATATCAACATCATATATAATAATGTCTAAGACTAGTAATACCAAAGAACATCATGCCAAGTATCAATGGAAATTTTACTTGCTACTTCATTAATCCATCTATCGTGATGAAATACTATCCTAGTTAGCCGAAAATTTTTGGTGCCATGAGGGGAGCAATCTTCTTCTACAGCCCAGTATATCTGTTTTAACTGCAGAGATATAGTCAGTATTCAAGCTTCCGTGTCAATGACTACTCATTAATCACATACTCACCTTGCCATACTTATTCTTGCAAGCACTTGGCTTGAACACGGTCCCACATTCCTTGCGTAAGTGCACAGAAACTGAGTTCCAAACTTTGTCTTTGAACCCAATATTCGAGGAGCCACCCACGCGCTTCACTTCAAAAAGGAAGTGGATGAGCTCTGCTTCCTCACGGGATTTCCAAACAGCACGTGAAGAAGGTGGGTCTGTGGGTGATGTAGAGGGTGCAGGTTCTCCCTTGGGAGCGCGACGTCATTTGTTGTTGACAGGCGGGTTAATTTTACATGTGGGTTTTATAAAAAAAGAAGTTGTGGTAAAGAACAGTAAAGAAACCGCCATACCGAACAGTTGCCAGTTTCTTGATGAAAGTGAAAGAAATCGGGCGAAGAAACGAGAAAGAATCAGGTGCCTTTTGAATTAAGAAACGAAAAGAAACGGGCAAAAGAAACCCGTTTCTTCAACCCGTACAGAGCCTTAGTGATGCTGCATTTTAATCACAAAGTAAAACAAATAAATAGATCCCAAATCCGTTCAGTGCTCTTGGATATACATAAATGAAAGACAGAACAGCAGCGGTGCTGAAGTAGTTGGAGTGCCTTCCACGGTACCCAATGCAAACCTATCTTTCAGGCCTCAGTTTGGGCCAAGACCTTGGATCTGTGATCATCAAATCATACATTAGCCTCTCTGATTCATCATAATGTATACACGCACCTGGACACCCTGTGCCACGAGCTTCCTGCCTCGGCCTCCTGTGGCCTGCAACCCGGTGAAGTCCAATACACCTTGACAATTGCCACAGTTTACCCCAACACTGTAAGCTTTTGAGGCGACGGATACGGAATTTGTCGATCCCGTAAAGGAAATTCCTCTGCAGGAAGCATGATTTCAACATATACTTGACTAGGAAATAAGATCACACACGTAATGGGGGCTTTTGTGCCTGCCTTACCGAAAACTATTCATTTAACAGGAAGCACACCTTACAATCAGGAATAATGGTCGACCGTTCACTGTCGCATCGGAAACGCACCTTCTGGATAACTCTGGGTGAGGATGAAGCCGTATTTGGAAATATTCGAAGCGATATTGCTTGAAACCCAGGCAGATCAGCTGCAGCGAGGCGAGGGGATGGAAGGCACCTATTTACTCACCCATCATACACCACATTCGAAACGAAACTATTCTCAGCGTGGGCTTTGACCTTGATCCGGAGTCCATTCGCGCTGTTCATGACCGTATTTTGGCGGAATATGACGTTTGAGACGGACTACGGTATGAGGGGAAGGAACAAGAAAATAGATTATTCGTGCCTGATTCCGTGCATAAAAAACCACCCCTACATCACCAGAACTAACTGAGCCAATCGACAAGCCGTGGCCGTCGACGCAGGTCATGTATTGTACGAGAATATTACTGCCGCTATGAGACGGGAGAAAACCCAGTATTTATTGAATGAAAACTGCTTGAGAAAGGGAGAAACTGACTTATTGATGGCAACACAATCATCCTGTGAGAGGTGAGTAAGCGATGGATTAAATCAAATACGTCGTAAGCGAATACACACTTGGTTGATGACGGTATTGTTACAGAGGGTAACATCACTTGCACTGAGGGAAGCAGAGGCCTCATTCATCAGACTTCCGCCGGGAGGATCCCCAAGCAGTCACTGACCTAATGTCAAAGCCATCCGTGTTAACACCCAATTTATTCTTGTTACCCGCAGCTACACACGGAAATTAGGGATTCCTCCGATGCTCCTCTAACTGTATGGTGGCTCACAGTTATCCACGGTAACGTGTTGAATTGTGCTGGGACCTGTCGTACCAACAGAGATAGCATGCGCAGGCGAATCGAGGACAGTGAACGATTGAAAGGTTCCATATTCCTGTAGCCTAAATCCCACAAACCATTAACGAACCTATAACGGCAGCGAAGTTGGCTCACTTGACAAGAGGGTGCGGCTTCCCCCTACCAATTGCTCCTGAACATAAAATTAGAGGTGGGAATATGGAAGGATAAAGACTTGATCACCTTTACCATCCCAATATAGCCAGCCATTTCCCTGCACCGAGGCGGAACATTGGCTAGTAGTTTCATGCTACGAATGATACCACTCACATTGATGTTGTGTCCATTGCCATCATAAGTAACGTTTGTGGTGGCGATAGTCAAGAGAGGCCCCGATGCTAATGGATGTAAGCCGTCTAAGGTAATTCGGATCGTAAATACCGCGACTAACCTGTCGTCTTAGCGAATGTGATAGCACCGGTCTGTGAGACGACTGCGCCCGGCGCTGCCTAGGCAGCGAAAGCTGATTCAGCACCGAGTGAGGATAGACCAGGAAGGTTGAGAGTGTCTACCTTAATAGTTATAGTTTCTTGCGGGGACCATCAGATTATATCCATAGGCCACGTGAGTCCACTTACTCCCAGATGGTACAGTGAAAGCTTCAATCACGACGGAGGTGCAGTCGGACAAGTCAGAGGCGCTAGATACACTGTTGACAGTGCATGCAGCCTGCCTAGCCGAGTGAGTCCCTGAAGCCCTCCTAAAGATGGCGTTATGTCCCGTAGGGCCAGCTACGGCGAGAGAAACGAGCGAAGGAAGTGCAAGTGCCTTTGTAGAGAAAAACATTACTATTTAATAGAGCGGGGAAGAGTGAGGCTCCCTCAGAAGCAGTTTCTCGCACTTTATAGCCTTTTCCCCTCATGCCTGCCGTATTGACGTGCAAGAGGCCTTGCCAGTACCTCACATCATGACTCAATTGCTCGGATAATTGACTCGAATATTGGTCGTCGTCAAGCATCGTGGATGTGAGATAGATGCGACCCGCGGCCGCGCAGCCGGTAGGTTAGCGATGAGAGGCCAACAGAAAGAAAACAGCTTGAGTTAGATCACACCATTGCTCCCCAGTTTGGGAAAGTGTTGGGGAAGTCCTAGGGCTAAACAAGACCCTGCTTGGGGGGATACCGAAACCACTTAGTGTGATGTCAATTGGCACAACTCCCTCATTGTTTCCCCAGTTTCGATGTTCCTGTATCCAGAATACAAGTCCAATCTAATGTCGTGGACCTCAAAGTTGCAGCAACAGTCGTCTGTGAAATCAAGCAACACGACAACCAACCTTTGATATGAGAGCGTGTTGGAAGAACGACCTCGAAGTACATATGTCTTTACCATTATTTGTACCAACTCTTTTATCAAGAGCCCGGAGGTCACCTGCCGGCGAAAGTGGAGGCAATCAACCTTGGGGGGGTTGTCAGGACGTCGTCCCAAGGTATGTAGTACATGCATGACTGAACGGATGATCAATGGTTAGCTGTAGCTTGTCAGACGACTGGGAAGTCTATGCCCACACCGGATCAATGATGCAATGCTCAAAAGTTGCCATGCCACTGAGAAAATGCTAAGGTCCGTAGCTCAGTCTCAAGCTTAACAGCGTTAGAGAACTGAAGGTCCGTAGCTGTAGATGAAAGTTATCAGAGAAATAATAATAAAAGCACGATTTGTCCGAAATGATAGAAACAGGAAACATACCCCTAATACAGTGATGTACCGCGAAAGCTACAGGGGTTCCACCAAAAAAAAAAAAAAAAAAGAAACAGGAAACATGTGACCGTGAGGTGATCGGTCACACACACGCTTGTGCTTCAACAGCAGGTGTCCTCCAACAGCCACCGCATATGTAATTGTTGTGAAGCACTGCCGCATCCCCGCATTGTTCAATAGGATATGAGCGAACAGAACGGAATAACATTGGCAGGATCCTCTAAATACTGTAAATCTGCGCCTACGGTCTGAGCAGCGCGATACCTATCACTGTGGGAAATGTTTCTCGGTAAATGACCAGAATTACACTTGTAATTGACCATTTACCATCATTTCGATGGTTTTTGAAGTCTGGTATTTTACCAAATCAAAATTGCGAGTCAAGGGACCGACTTTTCACGGCAAGTATTTTACTACCTGTACCATGGTAATTTGTGCGGGTGCATAAGATCATCATATTTTCATCACTTTGTCACAATAAACTGAGTCTCGAGATGCATTATATCGGCATGCACTTATCAGGGCACACAAGGAAGGTAAGATTACCTGGAAGCACGACTGGGGAGTCGGAGCGCGGGGCGCTAATATGTCGCCCTTGCTACCATGGACAGTGCATGCCTCAATCCCGCCCTTGGAGGCCATTTTCACAATACCTCACAAAGGCAAGCCAGTATTGAATGCAATCTTATGTGGCAATTAAAGTAATATGAGATTGCTAGCAAAGCGGGGCAACTCAGTCTCAAGCAAATAATGCGAAAGAGAACTAGAATATATTACCTAGCAAAGCGGGGCAACTAGAGGTAATATACAGTATATAAGTATAGATTGAAATGAAGGAATGATGTTACTAACCTCAGTCTCAAGCAAATAATGCGAAAGAGAACTGAGGGAAAAAGTGATTCAATGAGCGGTAATTCCCATGTAGTTTAGGAGCGGAGTCCGAAATGAATACAAAAGAATGAATAAATAGATGTGGCTGGCCGGGCGAGTTCCTCACTCAGCCATGGGAATGTGGCTGTACGAAAACTCGCATGGCCGCACTAGCACGCTGTTTTCCAACAGCAATATCTCATCGCCATCTTTACTTGTCGCTCAAGCCAAAGGTCGAACTGAATGGAAATTCCTGGGCTCACTGAACTTCCTCTCTCTCACCGTGCACTCACCAGATGCGTTGGATCCATGCCTGGCTGCTGCAACACGTTTAATTAGGCCTCATTTTGCTGTGGTTCTGTTTTTCGCATCTATTACATGCTTCAACACTTGTCATCACCTGTCCAGGTTGAGCATTGCAAGCGCAAGATTGTGCAATCGGCACCTCCGATCTCTTTGTTCTGAGTCCAGCGCTACCAATGCATGCACTATTTTGGGGCTTCTTGATCACCCCCTTGTCTACTTGATAAAGAAGTCGACTTCATGATTATTTGTGATGGACTTGAACTGTTTCCTCCTCTTCCTGTGTGCCCATCTTCATGCGCGTTTTGTTTCTTATGTTGGAATTTGTACACGTGGTCTTGGGAACCTAAATGCTAAAATATGGACATTCTGGGAGTTGAACTGCAGAACCCTGCATAGGTACCAAGAGTGTGTTACCATTACACTAAATGCCCGCATTAGGCGGAGGTGGTTTCTAACATCTTATGCTCTCCAGCCACTGTGCCGCCTCAACCTCACATCCACGAAGAGAATCGAGAGCTCAAGCATCTGCTCAGCAGGGTGTTGTTCGGCCCCCCTCTGGGCTCGGCCCTGACCAGGGCCCATGCATAGTTACCTGCAAAGGTTGGGGTTCTCACATGGAACTGCTTATTCCTTCTCGAAAGCATCTGATCTGGGCTGCACTCACCATTAATCACAGAGAAGAAAATTTTGTCACCAGAGTCAGGCGACATTGAGGACACTATCCACCAGGTGCTCTTACTGAAGATGGGCCTGGCGAGAATTATCCTGAACACTGGGTCAAGAGCCTTCCCCCACACCAAGTATCTGGCCAAGATCCCACCAGGTTCCCATTTCCTTGCCTCCATTGCCTTCCTGACTCCCTTTCATACCAGGAAACAATTGAAATGCACAAAAGCAGCCAGAATTTGAGAGCTGAACATGCAAGTCCAACCTGCTGATGTGCTTGGACCATCTTGGAAGGCATGTGGGAGTTGGAATTCTCTGCTGCTCGTAGGTTTGCGTCCCTGTCGTTTTACTCTCAATTTCTTCTGCATTCTTACCAGGATATGCAGTCCGAGCTGTCTTTCTTCATCAGGATTGAACCATATCAAATTGACACTCATATTCAACCCCCACTCGCCTCTTGCTTACTGCTCAAATCAAGCTCGATTTCTCATTCATGATCACTGCTGTTTCTCGTAATGTAACCTGGTAGAAGCAATGTCTTTTTACTGTATATTACCATACTAATAGCCATAAATAACCATGGATTGTAAGGCATTTCATCATTGACAATCATTGTAAATTACAAGACCGGTGAGGTAAAATACCAAATACGACCATTGTAAAGTGACCGTTTACCATCATTGAGATGGTAGAAAACTGTGAAAAAGTAGGTCTTTTACCCTCGTTAGTATGGTAATGGGGACTCGGTAAAGGACCATAGTCTTAATGGTAAAGTACTATTTGAATCATCGTAAAAGTGAAGGTATTTTTGTCAGGGGACGGACCCTGGGTCCCCATGACCCCTCTCTATGGCCCACAGGCTAACCTGTAACAGCAGCCCATCTCAGGGCATAACACTACTGTGGGTAAGAAAGTGTATAAGATAAAAGGCAAGTAAGATACACTTGCCTACTGTGGGTAAGAAAGTGAGAAGAAGGTTAACTTCTCACTTTCCCACAGTGGCCCAATATGGCGAAAACTTCCGGGGATACCCGGAAGTCACATGAGAAGAGAAGTGGGAACCGGGCCCGGAGCATGCGGCGCGCGGAGCATGCGGGGTGGAGCATGCATGTGGGTCCGGGTCCGGGCTAGTCAGCGTGTGTGCCCTGACAATTTTACCATCTTTAAAATGGTTTTTTACGCGACTCTAATTCCCACTGTGCTATATTAGTGGTGTATCGGCTGCCTGGGTGAGTCCTGTCCTTATATACATGACGATGTGGTATACACCACTGAGATGAAACTTTGAAGAGGGCCAAAGCATAAAGGGTTAGCGCCCCAAAGCGCTCCTGCCCCAAATCCCAATAACGTTTGTACCGTGGCATTGGGCTGCTATCTCTAACAAATACATCCGCATCGCGCTGTGCATGCAGTCGCAACGGATTATGATTAAGATGTTATCAGGGCGACCAAAACAAATGGCCCAACTAGCTATCTATAGACCCGGCTGCTTCAACACAGGATTTATATATTGAAGCCAACAAAATGAAACTCGTGTATGTAAATCAAGGCTACTAGCAGAGGTCCATGATGAGTCAATTATGTATGACCTTTCTACAATATCGCTACCTGCCCTCAGGGCATCCAGTAGTTAGCGGTGGAGAAAGAGTATCTTGTGGTTGAATCGATGCCGATAGCTGTCAAGTGGATGAGTGAATGCCCGATACTATCAATGCAATGACCCACTGATATATGCGATAACTCTGTCTTGCAGGTTCTTGCCCAATTGGTATGCGTCAGCGAACGTATTGTATCTGCCCGTGTTCTCCTCTGCAAGGATAGAGTCATCTGCGTTATACATAGGTGGTGTGAGACTGAGTGGTATTACATAGGGAATAGGGGCAAGGACTTTGTCGTTGAAGGATTCATCGAAGAAGACCTGGCCGATGTGAAGGTTTCCTTCCGTTGACTCGATCGTTCTAAAATTTAGGGATCAAGACAGGTCCCCCAGCACGATTGTGGGAAACATACTCGTTTGCCGCCTTGGTCCAATTTGTCTGGACTGCAGTCTGGAATGCAAAATGTCAGCAGTGAATTCAGAATCCGGTGTATCACCCAGTGCCACTTACGTGAATATGGATAGTTCAACCCATGTAGAAGCCAGGATATACGGTATACATCTCATGCCATTCTTGTTAGCAGGCCAGCCGCCCCTTACAAAGCTAAGCTCATCGCTCATGGCTGTACTAGCAGAGTTTCCGCCACCAGAACCAGAACTGTGCTATTGCTTGGAGGCGTCCCAGTATTTCCGCTGCCACCCGTTGACTCCACAGTAAAGCTAGAATAGAAGCCTGGTCACAAGGGTCAGTAGGTGGGGAGGACGGATGAAAAGCAATTTTGGCGCACCTGTAGCATTGGCATGCCAGATCTCTACAAAAGCGTTAGGTAGTGGCTTGCAGGAAGTGATGTCTATCACTCCAATGTCGAGTGGAAGGGGAACGCCCCACTGATTCTCGTGTACGTTTTGACGAACAAGTTCCTACCGATCCGTGGATTGCTTTAGCCTGGAAACCAGCAGGTAGAGAACAAACACAGACATTCATCACAAAGTAGGGGCCTTCTGTTACTTCAGGAGTCATAACACAGGTTTTCTATGAATTTTGTCAGTGCATTATACCAACGTGCGCTGGACAAGGTCTACATTCTTGATCTCCTTTTCCCATTGAGCACCAAAATTTCCTCCACGGAGGTCCAAAGATAAATGCTTCAGGTCACAGCGAATGTGGTGGCGCTGATTCTCAAATGCGTGCATGGCAGGGGTGCATTTCCTGGCTGCAACATTGCGTGCTTCCACTTCAAGCTGCAAACACCATTAGGGAATGGAGAAGAAATCCTCATATTTAACACACCTTTCGACGTTTCAATTGCTCAGCGGACAATACTCTAGTGTCGTGAGAAAATGCAGAGGTGATTGTAAGGGCAAAGATGGTGAGGAGCTTCATGTTGAACGATCAACAGTCCGATTTGTGTCTGCTGTGCTGGAATTCTGGCTCAAGGAACACACACTTACATCTGAGGCTGGGTCAACCATTCTGCACCAGCTGAGGCGTCAGCTGAGTGTAATGCCGTCCGTAGCAAGGCCCCATGGGATGCCAGCTATCTAGTGGACTGGATACAGGGTACACCGAAAACCCTCCGAATAATTAGCCATGCATGGAGAACAGAAATCAAAGGTGTGCCTGGAGTCCATAGTGATTTCGTTAGGGTTAGCGAAGGGGGCACAGTGTACGGAACAGGTGACTGCCAAGAGAAGAACCCGTCACGAATTGGGCTCTCCCCCTCAAGGGTTTTGTGGGACTCCGTCTGCTAATGAAATCAGCCCCTCAGGCCGCGGCGAACCTAGTCTTAAACGCCAAAGTTCATGGCCTGGCCTGCAGCGAGTGTTCAACGGGCACCAAAAATTGAGACTGTTGGCCATCTCTAATTAACGCTATGCAGTTGTTTGTAATGGAAGCTTCTGCATTGGAAACTATTGTTTTCTACCTGACATGACCTGCTGCGTCGTTCAGATAAAATGGTCACAGTCTCATAATGTGACTGTTTTCCTGAGGTGGCTGAGAAGCATTGCAATGTGGAGCTTACTAACCGGTGCGGATGCAGTTGCAGGGAATTGTGTGGCGATGTGCATGGAGTTTGCTGTGCCTTGATCGTAGTCACACAGCAACAACCGAAACAATGGTTGTTGACCAGCCACAAGAACTGTCGCCCCACTGAAGTAAATTTGAAGTTTGGCCGAGACAGGGTGAAGAATAGCCGGGCATTGATAGTAGTCCACATGTATAGGGAAGAGCGGTGAGTAGACAGCCTTTTTGGGTAGAATGTGGGGGTCGGCAAACTGGTTCCCCTAGCAGGTTTACGCGCCCACCACTCCCTCCTACATCCCCCTACTCCAACTGAGAGCGGGCACTGCCCCACCGTGGGGGTCCTTACACCCGACGCGGTGTGTGCAGACGCAACAAATACCGTAACGTTGGAACGAGGCCAACTCCTTACCCATTCGCAAACACAGATACCACTACGATCGACCCCAACAATCTCTTTGTGAACGTGGAATATGTGCCATCCGTTCCCCCTCCAAGCTTTGTGACACTGGCCTCCCCTTCACTCTCGAGCACGATCGGACACATGAATGACCTCTCAATGGCGGCCCTACAGATGGAACAATCAGGTGGCACTGCTGGAGAAGTGGCCGAGGCGAGCTCTTCAGCCCAAAAGAACGACTAGACCTTGTCATAAGTGCAGGTTTTAAGCCCAATTTTTATTCTCTCTTATCTTTTAGTATTTATATACGGTGAAGGAGAGAACGAAGGAAGGTCAGTTGGGAGGTTCAAACGAGACCACCACCAAGCTGTTCCCTGGTTCTTTAGTTAGGATGGGGAAGTGTACTAGTGTTATTAGTTGTAAATATAGTACCAATCCGAGTGTTTTGGCTAATTCTATTTTTATGGGTTAGTTTTAAAGTTCCTGGGAATTGACTTACAGATAAACCGAGCCCTGCGGAGCTGTTTCTTTATTGAAATTTCTTAATTTGTCTAGCTGTAATTCTGTGTAGCATTGTTTAATTTGGAATTTAACTTGAATTTAATCTTCTACTTGGTGAAGTTTCAAAGATTCTATTCAGTTGATGGATTTGGATTGTGTCTGGAGTGTCCCTTGGGTTTGTTTTATTTTTGTCTTATTTTATTGCTTGTTTTAACAGTAGCAAGATAACTGTTTTGTGTTTACACTTTGAAATCTGGAGTGTTAACCAGCTCTCCTGTTGAAATATTTACTTAATATTTCTCTCCTTAATTGCTGCCTTTTACTACAGTGGCAATCTTAACTGTATATCACTTTTTTGCACTGGAGTGACAACCAGAAATGCTTGAGAAAAATAATACTCTATTTTCTTACTTCTCTAAGGGGGGGCAAAAAGTCGCAGAAAGGGTCTCCCTTTTATACTCCTTGGGTCGCCTTCCTTTTTCACGCTCTACCTTCTATTTACAGGATTTATTTACAGTGTATTTTTCTCAAACTGAATAAAAAATGAAATTTTCACGCTATAGTTCTACTGCGCTTTTGCTGCGCTGAACTGCGGTTCTACTGCGGTCAGACTGCGCCTAGAATCCTTATTGTCCTCCCTCACCTAAGCTATACAATCCATTGATTGACTGGGTAAAGAGCAGTATCTTGTTCTGAACCTCCAAACTGTTGAAGTTATGCATTTCTTTCTATTCAATCTTCACTCCATGAGTCACATGACTACTGAGTCGGACTTTACTGTTTCTACTACTTGTATAAACACTAAAGTCTTCCTCAGAGCATGACAACTCAATCCCCGCTTAGTCCCTTCAGTGAGTTTGAGGAGCTGAGGACAGGGTCTAGTGCCCAACCACCCGGAACACCGCACACACCCAGGCCTGAGGTCGGGCTGTCCCTGATCGAGGACCGAGCCCTGACAATAAGTCGCTGAGGCCGAAGCCCTCTGCCATGGAGACTTTCCTTTGTCTCAACCTGGTCTCTGACAAACTTGATCGTCTGCTCTCATGCAAGACCGGTTAATGGTTAATTAGAACTTGGCTGTGCTGCATTTGTCGCAGTTACCTATTTCAAATTCCCTATATATACCATTAAATTTGCTATGACTCGATGATTCTGAATTCAAACTTCGCATTACTATGCGTACAGCTGTGCTGAGACCTTCAGCTGATTTATTCCATTTTTATTTAGTGACATTTAGTTAAAATGAGACTGAAATGGTAAATGAGTGAATTATTCAGGCTTAAAACTGAAAGAAAAAGTTGCTAGTAGTCAAGAATTACTCAAACGAATGTGTTATAGCTCTCCACCTCATTAGAATATTGTTCCCTAAAATTCCTGCCATGGTCCGTCGTAGTTTAGTGGTTTTCATGAATTTCGCTCATATTCCCTGATTCCCCTTTGTATTATCACATCCTAATCCTCCATATGTATTGTTCGTTGTTATAGTAGGTCGTCCTTGAAGATATCATATTTTTATGTATTTTATTTAGAACTCTGGACCTCATGAAGCTGTTTTCCCGCGCGTTTTCAGGTTTCTAACTTCATGTCCTTGTATCTCATTCATTTCTGGATGTTTTCTCACGTTCTTGGTATCATAAATTTTCATTTATTCCCACCTTTCCAATGGTACTAAAGTTGTGTTCTATTTCCTGGTATTTGTTGAGTTAGCAAAAGTTTGCGCGCACATTCGGTAATCACGTGCGTCGTTCCCATAGTCGTTCGTATGCGGGCACCGTTTCCGTTTAATTGTTTGGGATTTATGATATGCACGGGTGTTTATTTCTTTCATATGGGTTTCTGTGATTTATTTCAGATTTTTCCCTCATGATCTAAGGTTGTTTTGCACTTTCCGTGCTTTGTTTTGACCGGGCTCTTCCTTATTTGGACGGAAATTGGTCTTTGCGATCTGCCGAAGTGTGGATCTCGGTTCCGACGGCCGGTTCCCTGCGCATCGCCACCCTCACGTGTCATTACACATGATGCGGATTTCTATATTCCCATCATGGGTATAACTTCACAATGGCTGGACTGTTTGGGCTGAAAATTTGCATAACTATAGTTCCCCATTTTTTATAATTTCCGTGTAAATTTTGTTGTATGTTTTAATTATGGATCCTACGCAAACATTGTCTTTTCCCTGAGCTCGGACTTTTGATGTCGCTATTCCCGTTATTGGATATCACATTAATGCATGATCCTTTTATTATGAAAATTTGGGAGGATTAAGATTAGATCCCTTCCTTTCTAATGGGCTATCAAGCTTGTCTCGGTCGTTACTGGTTAATCTTCGTGCTTGCCTTTTAGACATTGTCCTCATTTTGCAGGAGTTTTAGTCATATCTCCGTCGTTTATGGGTAGTTTCCCCTGTAATTACTTTCATTGGGTCCGTTTGGGGGACATCTACATTTCCTATTATAGACACGACTTTGAATTTTGCATTAGTTCCTGAGGAATCCTTGTTCCATGGTACTTCCATCCTTGGCTATGTGTGCGGACGTGGGAAAGTAGTTTCCGTGGAGGTTCTCTGATTGTTTTTATAGTCAAATCTTGGTCGATTGTCCTAATTCTTGGTTTAATATTTGCTATAAATTCCCCCGAGAATTCCGTCTCGTTGATGGTAAGCTTGAAGTATTTTTGCTATTTTTCTTTCTTTTGATTTATCACGTATAGTCATAATAATTCGTTAAAATTCAGGTCCTTCTATTTTCTCATATCTACTTGTTGTATGAGGTTTTTGTGATTTATCTGGCATATTTCCATAATGGGTTTCCATAGTGTGACCGTTATTTCTCCTACAACGGGTTCTGACAACTAATCCCTAATCCATAGATGCGAGTTGTCAGCTCTCAAATCTAAATCCTCTGTTGCTTTGGTCTAACTAACATCACAACCATCGCCTGGTTGCTTCTATCTACCAGCCCTCAAAACTAAGAAAGCCGCCAAACAACAGTTTGATGCACACCGGTACCTTCATCCAGATGTAGGGAAATACCGAAAGTTGGGGCTTTTGTCAGTATGACTATTGGGGGGTAGAAGGAGATACTCATCCTGTTGGAAA